TTATAACCTTATCAGGCTCCACTATGTTACCCCAGGGAATTGGTTGCTAAAATCTTCTAGAACTGTTGAAGCCTAGATGACCATATTACAGTTTGCTGGATAGACCTTTTTCAGAGGCGACCCTCTAATTAGGCGGGCGTCTAAGGCCTCGCGCTCAGAAGGGCCTCGAGGCCGCCTAATTCGCCTAACACATTAACTCAGTTTTGAAGTGACAGGGGACCTTAACGCTGTTGTGCACAGGCAGCATTAGGAGCATTCATTATCTGTGGAGATGGTGCTACCATTTTTCTCCCTCCCCCCAACAGCTCCCTTTGGAGGTGACAGGAGTCCTTAAAGGAGAACTATTAGGTGAGTGCTTTTCACTCACCTCATAGTTCTAGCCAACCTGTGACAACAGTAGATCGTGAGGTGAGCGAACAAGGGTTTCTCCCTACAGGCTGTAATGGGCTGCAATGGTCTGTGTCAGAGGGGACAGGTAGCCGATTACAGCCTGTAAGGAGAAATCTCTGACAGTCCGAGAACTTCCTTCGCCCATGCCGTCTATTCACCCCTCCGCCCCTCTCGCGCTCTTCTCCTGCAGTCAGCCGCGATCATCCCCATTCCAGCAGCTGGCAGCAATAGCCAGCCTGTTATTGGCTTTTTTTAAATTGCAGTAGCCAATAACGGGTCCCACCTCTGCTGATTGACAGCAGGCCGTGGGCGGGTGCAATAGCCTGCCTGTTATTGTCTATTGCTATTTGAAATATCCAATAGCAAATAAAGTTAAACTAAGATGAAAAAAATTATAATTAAAAAGTTAAATAAAAAGTAGAAATGCAACAAAAAATTACAAAATAAAGTTAAATAAACCTAAAATGAAAAATACTAAAGAAGTTTTAAAGAAATAAACTAAAATTAAAAATACAAAAGAATTAAAACAATTCAAAAGCACAGCCTCTTAAAACCCCACACAGCCATCAATTGTCCATTATGGACGTGAATGGGGCCTCATGTTTAAGTTTCGCCTAAGGCCTCGCAAAGACTAGAGCCCCCTCTGTCCTTTTTCCCCCATAATTTCCTTTAGCTATTAAATGACCTATTTCGTACAGACTTTGGTTTGTAAAGGCATTCAGCAAGCTTCAAGCAGCTGTCTTAAAGCCTCTCTGGCTTCTTTCAGCTCCATTTTGGGATGACAAACATAGATCTTAGTAGGAGCGCTGGTTGTCGCCTGAAAGTGAACCTGTATTTAGTTTTAAAGCTAAGAGGCCTATTCACACCTATGCATGTGCTAACGCAAATGCTTTAACTCATGTGTTTTCATAAGTTGGATTGAGACAGCCCATTCACTTTGAATTGGTTCAGAATTAACATATAACACACCAGCTCTAATTTGATAACACAGCACACCATAGCACCCAAATGCACAGTAGCTGGGGGCTTCAGAAGCACTGGGGTGCTGGACACAAAGAAGTGATAGCTAGAGCCTTTGGAAGCACTGCAGTGACACACGGAAGTGCACTGTAGCAGAGGCCTTTGGAATCAGTGGAGTGCTGGACACATGGAAGTGCACAGTAGCAGGGGTCTCTGGAAGCACTGAGATGTTGGTCACACAGAAGTGCACAGTAGCAGGGTTCTCTGGAAGCACTGAGATGCTGGACACATGGAAGTGCACAGTAGCAAGGGTCTCCAGAATCAAAAGAGGGATGGACACATGGAAGTGCACAGTGGCAAGGGTCTCTGGAATCAATGGAGTGATGGACACACGGAAGTGCACTGTAGCAGAGGCCTTTGGAATCAATGGAGTGCTGGACACATGGAAGTGCACAGTAGCAGGGGTCTCTGGAAGCACTGAGATGTTGGTCACACAGAAGTGCACAGTAGCAGGGTTCTCTGGAAGCACTGAGATGCTGGACACATGGAAGTGCACAGTAGCAGGGGTCTCTGGAAGCACTGAGATGCTGGACACATGGAATGGACAGTAGCAAGGGTCTCTGGAATCAATGGAGTGCTGGACACATGGAAGTGCACAGTAGCAAGGGTGTCTAGAATCAAAAGAGGGATGGACACATGGAAGTGCACAGTGGCAAGGGTCTCTGGAATCAATGGAGTGATGGACACATATAAGTGCACAGTAGAAAGGGTCTCTGGAATCAATGGAGTGACGGACACATGGAAGTGCACAGTAGAAAGGGTCTCAGCAATTAATAGAGTGATGGAATGGATGCATGGAAGTGCACAGTAGCAAGGGTCTCTGGAATCAATGGAGTGATGGACACATGGAGGTGCACAGTTGCACGGGTCTCTAGAATCAATGGAGTGATGGACACATGGAAGTGCACAGTAGCATGGGTCTCTGGAATCAATGGAGTGATGGACGCATGGAAGTGCACAGTAGCATTCGTCTCTGGAATCAATGGAGTGATGGACGCATGGAAGTGCACAGTAGCATTCGTCTCTGGAATCAATGGAGTGATGGACGCATGGAAGTGCACAGTAGCAAGGGTCTCTGTAATCAATGGAGTGACAGACACATGGAAGTGCACAGTAGCTAGAGTCTTTGGAAGCACTGCAGTGACATGTGGCTGATCTGTAACAACCACCCACCTAACCCATGATTAAGATGATGAAACAAAATGCCTTTATGCGCTGAGCTTTTCCTGACAGTAGGAGTACTGGGCTGAGATTGTGTCTGTGGTTGTGTGTGAGATTGTGTCTGTGGTTTTGTGTGTCTGTCAGTGTTTTTGAGGGCCCGTTCACACTAGTGAAGTGTGTTAAGAAACAGCCCTGTGCCATTAACGCACTGTACCACGCAATCGCACCTACTATGCGTTCTAGTGCCGGAGGTGTATTGCGTTGCCATTCATTTAAATGGCACCACAAACGCACCTCCCGCCCACAGTTCAATCGCCTGCACCGGAATGCATGGCACCGCAGTGCAGTGCGACTTGAGTCGCGACCTAATGACCAAAGACAAATGTGGTTCCTGAGGTTACACAGGTTGAGAACCACTGGGTTAAATAACCCTGTCACTAACCACCAATGGGGTGTGGGGGTTAACAGCATTGCCACTGACCATCAATGGGTTTGATATAGCACAATCACTGACACCTATGGGGAGGGGGGGTTATTATTGCGGTGACTGACCTGAGTGCTGGGGGTTATTATTGTGTTCACTGACACAAATGCTAAAGGTTATTATAGCATTAACTAATAACAATACTATTGTTATTGCTGTCACTGACACCATTTCTGGGGGCTATTATTGTGTCCACTGACATCAGTGCAGAGGGTTATTATTGCAGCCACTTTTCGTTCATTTTGAATGGGCTTCCTAACTTGAGATAATGGGGGGAAATTTGTTAAAACTGCAGCAGACAAAATCTGGGGCAGTTGCCCCTGGCAACCAATCAGCTTCTCTCTTCAGTTTGTTCAGTTAAGCTTTGAAAATGAAAGACGGAAGCAGATTCTCTTTGCTCCAGTTTTAATAAATTCCCCTCAATGTACTTCAAAGCATGAAAACTTGCTACTTTTGTGTGGCCCTCTGGAGGTTTCTGGGGCCGTCTATAATTTTCAAGTTAAACACTGCATTAAGCTCACCACACACGTTACAATTAAGTTTACGTTTTGGATAGTATTGGGAAGAGTTAAAAGAGAACTATGGGGTAAGTGTTTTTCCCCATAGTTCTCTTAAGGGTCACGGGAGGACATATAGTAAAGTTAAAGCGCTGTGCACGGATCCTGATGATTAAGTATTTATAAAACAACTAGGGGTGCTGCCCCACTTCAGCCAAGCTGAACTAAATTGCACTTCCTGGATATCGGTTTATCCCCCTATTTAAAGGGAAGAAAGAGGTAGTTGAGGTCACGTTCTGAGGAAGGGGGCTTGACCCCGGAAACGCGTCAATGCCGCCACACTACAGTGGCACACAGGCAGATTGCAGTCTCAACTGCTGTTTCTTCCAAAACATCCACACAAGCTGTTTTATGACCCTCCATTGTGAGTACCATTGCAATTTTATCTTTGTGTCTTTTAAAATAAAAAATAATCTGCACTAGGTTGGGCGCCCTTCTGTCCTTTTTTGTATCACGGGAGGACATATACTAACCTCTTCCCGTGACCCAAAGCTCAGTATATAGCGGGCTATAGCTCGCGGTATACTGAGAGCGCCGCAGCCGGGACGGATCCAGACAATGCTGTCGAGATAAACCCAGCTGCGTGAGTGACAGCTGGCTCTGCCTATCTAGAGGCAGAGCAAGCTGTACCCGCCCTCGCCCTGGGCTCAAAACATCGGGAAGTGAGCGAGCACCTACCGTCGCTCGCTTATTTCTCCATCATCTCCCTGCAGAGAGAGGTGACCGTTAGTCATGGCTCCCTGCAGGGATTTCCCCCTTCCCGCTCTGATCCTCCAGCGCTGACTGGATAGGCAGAGCCAGCTGTTAATCACACAGCTGGGTGGATCTCCACTGAGACCGCCCGTCCCGGCCGTGGCAGTCTCAGTATACTGCAAGCTGTAGCTCGCGGTATACTGAGCTTTGGGTCACGGGAGGACGCTAGGAGAATTATGGGGAAAAGCCCTGAACAAAGTTCTCCTTTAATGCCATGCATGTGCCTTGTATTGCACCACAACCTATTCCCATGTGATGTGGTGTGATGTGATTTAAAAAAAGTTGCACACACTTATTTCGTGTGATTTTAGCTACGGTAGGAAGCCCTTTCAAATGAATGTGCTGTCTACCGCAACGCACCACAAGCGCACCCTGCAGCACCTCTGCGATTTACCATTACATAGCTGTGAATGAGGTAGTACTGTTATCAAAACATTTGTATCGACTTATGAAATTAGCCAACTTATTGTTATGTATCTTCAAGCTTCTTGTCACTGAGTTACTTCAATGTTATGTAACTGGCCACAGACCGTTTTGTTATTAATTAACCTTGTTTCTCAAATCTTTGGCCTCTGGGTTAGAAGATCTGGTCACATTAGGTCTTTATTTCAAAATACCGTACTTGCGTTTGCTGGTGCATGGCACCCATTCAAGTGCACACAGGACAGCACGGTCTACTTCAGCCATAGTAAACCACCTCGGTGCTGCCAGAATGCACACACATTCTTTAACACTAATTAGGAACAAAGTCCAATTTGTGTTTATGTTGTCTGGTTCCTTACGGAGAAGGTGGGGGGACCCATTGTTGTTCTCCAGCCTGGGGGTAAGGGGAATTGAGAGCTCTAACTCACCACTCTGTGCTTTTACTCCCCACGCACAGGACAGAATGGCAAAGCGGATTCAAGCACGGAGGCTGGAGGAAGTGGATGAAAACATTTGGTATGTATTTGTGTTCATTATGTATCAGGGAGCCAATCAGGATTCTGAAATACAGTGTTTAGGAGTACAGTGGTTAAAATCTGACTGTGACTCATGCCCATACTAAATCTCTACATTTTAGCAGGTTTAAAATAGTACTAAATGTTCACTCCAGTGATGCATAATAATTTTGCATTTAAAATCCATAGAAAGAACATGGCCTGCATACTTAGCTGCTTTAGTTTTCATCCTCGCTTTAAAGCCAGGCAAACCACTAGGCATATGTATATACTGTATACATACACCCAAACAAATGTATCTGTCAAACAATTCTTAATTCAGATCAGCCAGTCTTTTGAATCAGACACCCCTACCAAACAGCACAGGATGGTTCTGCATTCCCTAGGACCTCTCTGCAGACTACATTGCAGATGAGCAATAAAGTCTGAACCCACTCCAGCCTGTGACTGGACAGCAAATGAGCAGCACCACATTGCTGAGGTGATCACTCTGCTCTGTCCTCTTCTCACAAGGCTTTCACTGCTGGAAGGATTAGCAGTGTTTAGGCCTCATTCACACTGGAATCGGCCCGCATGTACAGCTCCGTGCTGCGTGCAGGGCCGTATCGGGCAGTTCCCGGGAAGAACAGGTGCTGCGTGTGATTAGTACGCCGCCCCCGTCCTTCTCTATGGGACTACGCTCACCTCAAGTGCAGGTCCGTAGGGGTGCGTGTTTCCTGGCTCGGACGCAGACCGGATCCATTCTGTCAGCGTACGAGTACGCTCACCTGCGCGGACGTACGCGGCGGGTGAGCGTAGGGGGGCGTACGGCCGCGTAGTCCCAAAGAGAAGGACGGGGGCTGCGTACTAATCACACGTAGCACCTGTCTTTCCCGGGAGCTGCCCGATACGGCCCTGCACGGAGCTGTACATGGGAGCCGATTCCAGTGTGCACGAGCCCTTAGTGTAGAAGAGCCTCATTATCTTGCAATTCTACCACTTCCTCTCCTAAGCTTAGTGTTGCTGTAAAAGGAATTAAAGGATACTGATACTGATACAGATTCTGGCACTTGTGCTAGTTGTATGTAAAAAAGGAATTTGATTATTTCAATGATTTTGGGAATCTACAGCTAGAGTATTTTTTAGGGTCTTCGTCTGGACTCCAGGTTTAATTTTATGTGGTTGCCTATTGGTTGAAAAACTTCTTAATTTTTGTATTTGCTCCAAGCTGAGCAAGTAAAATTGCACAGTGTCCATTGGTTCTGAGCACTAGCCTCTGGTGTTCTCAAAGAAGGTGGCTCCATACAATCATGTACTAGGAGGCTGTAGCGTCCATTTTCATCCCATTAAAAAACTTTCTGAATCCAACTACAATAATTTATATGCTAATTGGGATTTCTGACTTTAGCAAAATTAAATTTTCTGGATAATGGCTTGTGGATAATTTTTTTTAGCTAGCTATAGAACGGCTGATTTGTGCAATTTTTTTAATAGTCCACCTGCATGATCCAGACATTGGTTTCTTAGAGGAATAGTTAGTGGTGTTCTTGTTTGTTCATAAGGGTGGCCAACCCAATGTAGTATAGATCTATCCAAGATAGAATTAATTTAAGCATCCAGATCTGCTGATGTATGGTAGGCTTACTATTAGTCCAAGGCAGATAAGAAATATGTAGGTGTTGTGGAAAATAAAGGTAGAACTTAGGCCAGAGGGCAGACCATAGATGGGTATTAGTCATAGGATAGGAACAGTATCTTAGAATAGATGCGAAAATGTGCCATGCATTCAGCTTGTATTTGAGATGTTTCTGGCCTGCTTCTGATCTCCTTCTGACATGTGTGACCTCCTTCTGAGCTGTTCCAAGCTGCCTTTGCATTCATACTGATTTATATAGTATGTGTAGAATGGCGTTTCTGATGCTGATACTTACGTATGCAAACCTTTTGGCTAGGTTCACACCTAGGCGTTTTTTTGCGCGGATTGAGTCAAACACAGATTTACATTGAAGTCAATGGAGGCTGTTCACATCTTTGCGGTTTGTCAGGCAGACGAAATCGCCTGTCTTGCAAAAAGGTGCAGGAGCTATTTTTGGGCGGTTGTCCCACAGTTTGGATCCCATAGACATCTCAATGCATTGAAAACTGCGTGACAACTGCGCGGTTTTCAAAGAACAGTCAGAAAATGCGCAAAAACAGCTCACGAGCTCAATCGCCTAGGGGTGAACATAGCCTTAGGCTATGTTTCTGTTTACTAAAAAATAGTTAGGAGTAGTGGCAACAATTTTTAGGATTCTGGGATGTTAAAAATAAATCTAGATTGCATTGCAGATGATTGTTTATTGATTGTTTATAGATTGTTTATAGATTGTTTATAGATTGTTTATGATTTGTAGACAATTCTTGTAAGGATATGCTGAAGTTATGAAGCTTTTGAACAACTGAAACTGTTTATTGCTAGATCCAGGCGAAGTATTGACCTTTCGTTTTTCTTGCAGGGTGGAGTTTGTCAGCCTTGCTGCTCAGTATAAAACTGTGAACCTGGGACAAGGGTTTCCAGATTTTAATCCTCCAAAATTCGTAAGAGAAGCCTTTGCAAAAGCCATCACCGAGGACCACACCTTGCTTAACCAGTATACCAGAGCCTTTGTAAGCATGCAGCTTTACAACCTTCATCACTCATACACCGCCCTTCCTGACTGTTGCGTCAATATCTTAGAATGTACCTATCATGAGAGAAGTATGGGGCTTGGCATTGCTAACCTCCCTCAGAAAATACTAGTGGCCAGGGGCGTAACTAGAAATCACAGGGCCCCATAGCAAAATTTTGTATGATGCCCTGTGATATCTAGTTACGTCCCTTGCAGAGCCCACCTGATATCCCAAACATCCCACCTGAGAGTGACCCTGCAGAGCCCACCATATACTCTCTATGGTGGGCTCTGCAGGGTCTTAGGCGGCTCGTCACACTCCTGCACAGCTCGTCACATCTGACATCACTGGAATTGTCCCCTCCACACACACACCTACACCTCATGCAGCTAAAGTAAGCTATTAGGTGGTCATGTGATCATGAACAAACGCTCAAAATAAGAACTTTTCAATTTTCATATAAAAAAGCAGTCAATTTTTATATAGTACTACTCTTCAGCATCAAGTTGCGCCTTGAATCAGCTACATCAATGTTTCAGTACTTTCTGAGTCACTGGACCAGAACAACTATTCAGATAAGCATTTGTACATTCTTTGTGGCTTTCCTTATCCACATCCATGTTTTGGGTCAGGAATTTAGAGTCTTGAAGCCATTGGATTTACATGACTGCTAGCCAACTAGCATTTTCAGTGGGTGATCACCAATGGGGGTCTCTGTATTTCCCTCAATACAGGTTTTCTTTAAAACTGTACACTAACCTCAGGCCATAAAATCCTGAACTTACCTTATCAGAGCCAGAAGTATCACATTTCCCATGCTGTGTGAGCAGACATTCTACACACATTTCTTGGAACGTTAAGTGACATGTTTCTTATGTTTTCTTGCAGGGACACCCTCCTTTGGTGAAGGTTCTAGCCAAGCTGTTTGGCCAACTGCTTGGAAGAGAGCTAGACCCTCTTTCCAATGTTCTGGTGACAGTGGGCGCATATGGGGCTCTTTTTTCTGCTTTCCATGCTCTGGTGGATGAAGGTGATGAGGTAACACAACCTAAAATTTCCTTTATTATGACCGGTCCATATCTGTGATATGTAAATTCCTGAAAGGATTATAGTCTACATTAAATCTCTTACCCAAATTAACCACTTGAAAAATTATGGATTTCTGATAACTATAACGCATTTTCTGTAATAAATGTAATAATCGTTATTTTTAACCATGTGACTGTCATTTTTAGGTCTTATTACTGAACATATGGGTTTTTATGGTAAATAGCAATCTTAAGCGCTTAATTATGCATTTAATTTTTTTTTTACAATAACAAATTATATGTGTATATATACATATAGTAATATACGTAGCTTTTCAGCAGCTGGACACAGTACGCGCTGGTTACTATTTAAACCAGCTTGCGCTGTCACTCGTCCGGTACCGATGTCCTCTCGTCACAGACAAGAGGACGAGTTATTTTTCAAGCCCTGTTTTTTACTATAATGAAAAATGTTCTGTAAATTTAGCAAATAAAAAAAATGTTTCACTTTGTTATGTTAAAAAACATTTATTCTTGCCCATATTTTTGGTAAAATATAAAAAATGGGGGCATGTCGAGTATATAGACACCAAACATGTCAAACTTTAAAATTGCGTGCAGTGTGGGAGCTGAGTAAAGTCAGATAAAAGACGGCATCTTCAGCCAATTGGCTCACACGTATCCAGATACACTGAAAAGATATGGCTTTTAAAATGACAGTGTGTCTAATGCCAAAACATTTCTCTCTTCTGTTTATTGAAGGGCACAGCCAGATCTATGATCTTGACCAATGGACTATATTACCATCAGCAGGAGTAAGTCGCTAGGTACAAAACACAAAGACCACCTAGGGGTGGCCCCTTCTTGTGGCCAAACCTCCTGTCTGCGAGACCATTTCAACTTTTTGCCTAGCTCTAAGGCAATAGGACCTAGAATTTTTTTTGCTGGTCTCTTAGGTCCAAAGCAATATTGTGCACTCCTTCCAGCCGTTGTAATTGAGCAGTTGGACGGCACACTTCCCAGTGCAGTCTGCCTTTTTAAAAGAGAATTCAGGGCAAAACCTTTTCTTAACCTTTGCAGTGGGGCTACCCCCGCACTGCAAGGGTTAAGTGCTTGTTTTGGTCTAAAGTTATAATCCCCCGGACAGAAGAGCCAGCTGGCTCTTAGACTGGTCCTTCCAGTCTCTCTTCCACTTTGCTCCAGCAGTCTAAGGATTCTTGAGTCATCACGTCCAATACACTGTGTATAGGACGTGAGACTGCCTAGGAACATACCCTCGCTGGAGGGAGCACTGTAACAGCCAGCCAGTTGTGAGGTTCAGGTGAGTATAACTTTTTTGCCCTGGTGCTGATACTCAAATTTTAGAATAGGTGATTGAAGCACACACAGGCAATATGTGTGTGTCCAGACTGGAAATACTTGGGCATAGTACAGAAAGATAGTAGGGCCACGATTCTGCCCAACCAGGAAATATTAAAGTTTTCCCACTGCTTAAGGAGTTCCTGAATGTTATAAAAGAGAAGGGGTGTAGTTCCATTTTTGGGGGGTTTTGGATAGAGGGAGGAAGTGAAGAACCCCTGTTATGTTTTCACCTCTATCCTGAGATCTGTTCGTGCTTTCCGATCATTTCCTATCTTGCTGACAACATTTTACCAGACAGGAAATCTCCAACAGCAACACATAGTGAAATAAAAACACTTTTCTAGCAGAGAAGGGGAAGTCTAGAACGCCTGATAGATTTTTATTTCTGTCTGTGTCCCTTTAGCAGATTTTCTCTTACTTACTGTCTGGCGGAATTGTTTTCACCAGGACAGTAAGTGAGATGAAAACTGGAGCCCTGGATAGCATTAAAAGTACACAGGCGGTCCCCAAGTTACATACATCCAACTTATATACAGTGGTGTATCAAGGTTTTTTGCTGCCCCAGGCAAGACTCGCTTCGGCCGCCCCTAACAACAACACACACACACACACACACACACACACCCCGGGCTGACCTGCACTCGTGACGCCAATCCAATCACCTCGCCACTTCCTAGGTCACAGAGCCGCTGTTCACCCGCTGCAGTAGGATCGTTTCAGTGGCCGCCGGCTGCTCTTCAATCTTCGGGTCAGTATCTCACCATCGTCTACGCTGTTGGCCTCCCACCCTCTTCACAAGCAGGCAGGCCGCCCTCCACCCCCAAACAAAAACGTAGAACAAGGCGTTTGACTACGGCCGCCCCCCAGCAAAGTGCCTCCCTAGGCAAACGCCTTGTTTGCCTCGCGGTAAATACGCTCCTGCTTATTTACGACTCCTATTTACAAATGGAGGCTATTACTGTACAGCAGGGCTAGTTGTTATGCTACCATGCTCGTGCTGACGAGGAGTGCCCACCTTTTCTAGGTCTGGTTCGTAGTACTGCACATACATTACAGGAAGTTGGCTCTTGTTAGACGTGCAGATGAGGGGTGACCACCTCTTCTTCCGGGTCACTGTGAGGTTTTTACTGCTGTCTGTATCCTCATTAGAAAGATTTAATCTCACTTTCTGTCCTTGAGACAACAGGAAGTGAAAGGAAATCTACCTCTAGGAAGGGAAATTCACTAATGTAAGAGTGATCATGGGAAAAAGGTTTCTCCACTGAAGCTTTATCACCAATCCTTGTTTCCACGACAAACCAACATTTTTAAAATCCAATTGTCACAGGGACAGAAAGTGTGGTGAAATCTTCTGAACAGGGGCGCACGCAGCAAAACAAACGTTACAGGGGGTAAGCCCTTCCCTATGCTATAAAAAAAAATTTGGCTGGAGTTGCACTTAAAATGTTTTACCTGTTCCAATTTACATACAAATTCAACTTAAGAACAAACCTACAGAACCTATCTTGTTCGTAACCCGGGGACTGCCTGGATTCCTTTCCAACTAAGAATAAAAGTTTTTGGCTTGACGTACCCTTTAAATACACCTGGATCTTTACAGACACAAAGTTAGTAGTAAACTATGGATGCTTGAGGTATCTTATAAAATATATTTATGTGATTAATGACATATTGTTACTTTTTTACATTTGCATTTTATTTAATTTTTTTACAGGTCATCATCATAGAACCATCATTTGACTGCTATGAACCAATGACGAAAATGGCCGGAGGGCGATGTGTGTATATTCCCTTAAGACCTGTTAGTAACTTTCTTTGTCTAATAGCTGTATAGTTTATTCTCTCCGAGACATGCTGCGTGAAAGGCTTCACACAGTGACCACATTCCTCAATGCTAAATTGAACAAGCAGCTTTATTCAGTTGACTTAAAGGAGAACTATGGGGTAAGTTCTCCTAAGGGTCACGGGAGGACACAAACTAGCGTCCTCCCGTGACCCAAAGCTCAGTATATCGCGAGCTGCAGCTCGCGGTATACTGAGACCACCGCAGCCGGGACGGATCCCTGTCGAGATCCACCCAGCTGCGTGATTGACAGCAGGCTCTGCCTATCTAGAGGATGAGTGATTTTCACCTCATAGTTCTCCTTTAAATTGGGTCTCTGCCAAGTGAACATTGGCCTTAATCAGTGGAATAGAGCCTGCAAAACAAGAGTGCTGTGTCCAGCAAGGGTGGCCCTGCAACAAGTATATAAAATCTTGTTATAAGTTTGGGTCAGATTTCTTATTTTATTCTGAGGTGTAAGATATGTGATAAAGATTTTCAGTCTCATACAAGTCTTTTCAAGCCTACAGATACAGGACAACTACACAGTAGTGGGGACTGGAGGCTGGACCCTGCAGAGCTTGAATCGAAGATCACCAAAAACACTAAGGTTCTTGTGTTAAACACTCCAAATAACCCACTGGGAAAAGTGAGTATAGAAATAGTGAGTAGCTCAGGTTAATGCTGAGGCTGAACTCCAGGCAGTTATAAATGAAAATACCATTTAATGCAGTTGTGTACGCATTTAGGCCTCATTCACACTACTAAGAGCCAGCCTGTACAGATCCGTGCGGCGTGCACGGCCGTATCGGGCTGCTCCCGGGAAGGACAGGTGCTGTGTGCGATTGTGCGCAGCAGCCTGTTCTTCTCTATGGGAGTATGCCGTCGCACGCCACCGTACGCTCACCCGAACTGCACATCCGTGCGGGTGTCCGTACTCGTACGCAGACAGGATGGATCCTGTCTGCGTCCGAGCGCTGACACCCGCACGTAAGTGCAGTTCGGGTGAGCGTATGACAGCGTACTCCCATAGAGCAGGGTCCCATCTTCTGGGCGACATCGTCACTATGTCGCCCAGCAGGGACCCTACGTGGCCCCGAAACGTTGGCTGTTTGACGCATGTGACGATTGAATAAAAAGTGCTTTACTTCTTGCACATATCATCGAGTGCTGGTGACTTCTATTAAGTTCTAAAAGGCCAGGACATACTAATTTTCATCCGCATACAGCTCATAGCTCATACTATAAGAATGCATAACTCTCATCTCCCCCCACAACTAATATTTTAGATTTTGTGAGAGATGGGACATACTCCCAGCTAAGAAAATAACAAATGATTGCAGACAATTTGGAGCCCCAGCGTGTAAAGACCTCTCCAACCCCGCTGAATTGTAGTTGCAAGGTTTGTGATGATTCTTTGATGGTTTGTGAGGTGAATGTTGGTTAACTTTATTTACAGCCACAAGCCTACTGGGTCCTGCCAGAGACTCCTTAGCAGATAGGTGTTAGTTCCTCGATCCAGGTCCAATATTCTGACTCTGATTGTTGTATTAGTGTTTTATCGCTTGCTGAGACCTCTATGCCTGGCCTGTATAAACAGATATAATAACTGCGGACAATCCTTATCAGATAGCTGCACTCACCAAATACCTCTTCATCCACGAAAGTGCTTTATTTAAAAGAATAGATGGTATTTGAAGGTCGGAGATAGTATGTTTCCAAGCATGCAATACAGGTTAACGTGGTCATTTTGCTGTCAGCCATGATACTAGAAAACAACTGGTCTCATGAAGAAAAGGGAAATACATCATAGATGGGAGGTAACACAGAAAAACATGGTGCAATAACCAAAAACGATTACAAGATGTCAGTATAATAATTAGCTATAGTATACCAATGAGCAAATGGCATAAGGAAAATTAAACTATATGAATTCTCATTTAACATTAATATGAATGCTAACTATGACTATGAATAGTCATATTTATTAAAGGTGCACCGAAATGAAAATTTGAAAACCGAAAATAAAAAAAATTGTCAGGCCGAAACCGAAAATGTTTTTTATTTAAATTGTTTACACATTTTTTACAAATTAATTTTTATTTTATTTTATATAAACTTTTCATTTTTATTTATTCATTTTTTATTAAATATTTTTATTTTTTACTTTACTTTTAGGGGCTTCGGGGAAATACTAGGGGTCTAAACAGACCCCTGATATTTCCCTTTTAAAATAGAAAAAGAGATTGAGGACGCAGAGACCTCAATCTCTTTTTCTGCAGCTCCCCTATAGAATCCTCCTATGAGTGTTCCTGTTCATTGATAACATGAGGACAGAGTATGTTTACTATAACCACAATCATGAATGAACAGGAGGTGATGTAGATCACTTCCCATCCATTCATAATTGAGGATATAGTAACCATATAATGTCCTCAATTATCTACAAACACTCAGCGATCGCTGAGGGTTTGCACTCGCTCTCCTCTCTGACACGCTGTCACAGGAGGCTGAGCGAGTGGTGCAGGGAGGAGAGCTCAGCCTCCTGTGACAGCACTGTCTCCGCCCCCACATCGCTCTGGCGGACTGTGATAGGAGGCTGAGCGGTGTGGGAGGAGACGCCGGCCCCTCACAGCGCTCTCTTCCCGCAGCGCTCGGCCGGCTATCACACTTTCTCTCCTCCCCGCTGGGACACAGAGCAGCACCCAGCGGCGAGGAAAGAAAACAGGGAATGCGCCGATGTATCAGCAGGAAAATGGCACTTTCGGCATTTAGCCAAAAGTGCTATTTTCTGCCGATATATCGGTGCATCCCTAATATTTATACAACTGTGTAACAGCACATGCAAGCTATCTTTTCAAATTCAACTTTTAATCATGAATATTTTTATGAAATTATCATCTCGCCTTCTATGTTTATTGTTACAGACTAGCTAGGTTTGTGAGGAACTGACAAGTGCTTTAGTCAATGAGACTCTGCTTACACTTTGCTTGTTTGATGTGTGTAGGTGTTCATTAAGGAGGAGCTGGAGGAAATTGCCCACATCTGTGTGAAATATGATATATTGTGCTTCTCCGATGAAGTTTATGAATGGCTGGTCTATGACGGCAAACAACATATCCGAATTGGTAAGTACAAAGTGCAATTTTTATAGGAGACCTAACCGTATGCACTTGCGTCCTTATTTGAGTTGTGACAATTAAATGGAACCTTGCCATTCCCCAAGCATGTAACCATATTCTTATATTAATAATGCACTCCATCAGCTTGAAATGCATTGTCTAGACTTTCATCTTTATTTATTTCCACTCCCACTGGCATATGTCTGCTGCCTCATAGAGAGCAGTGACACCTTACTTTCTCAAAAGGGGCATAGGTGTGTTTTGATGTGTGGGCTATGACTGACAGCTTGGCTTCACCTTCTCTATACTGCACAAGAGACAAGATGGCTACACCCAAGAAGGGAATAACTGGGTCTTAGCGTTTTAGGTCAATGATTATGCACTGGTGAGTTGTCCATAAGCTGAATACATATTGGGATCTGGTTTTTGTAAACATTAGAAAAGGAAATGGTTGTTGTGTTAAAGGAGAACTATGAAGTGAGAGATTTTCACTCAACCTCATAGTTCGAGCCGACGTGTGACAATGGAACTGTCACACATCGGCTCAATAGATCGCGAAGTGAGCGAACGCATAATGTCGCTTGCTCACTTCTTGATCATCTCCCTGCAGAGAGCCATGACTGTTACCCACGGCTCCCTGCAGGGATTCCTCCCCCCCCTCCCCGATCCTCCAGCGCTGACTGGCGGAACAGACTGGGGAGGGGGCGGGTACAGCTGGCTCTGCCTCTAGATAGGCAGAGCCAGCTGTCACTCACGCAGCTGGGTGGATCTCGACAGTAATGTCGTGGTCCGTCCTGGCTGCGGCGGTCTCAGTATACCGCGAGCTGTATATACTGATATATATACTGAGCTTTGGGTCACAATTGCTGAGCTTTGGGTCACGAGAGGACGCTAGTATATGTCGTCCCGTGACCCTTAGGAGAACTATGAGGAAAAACACTTACCCCATAGTTCTCCTTTAAGCTTTGCACTATACAGCTTTTAATGAGCTGATAAAAATTTAAGCAAAATATTTTTATTTTTTTTAGTGATCCTGACCTAAAAAGGGCCTAAGTTAACATTACTAAAGTACATGTTTTGTAATTCTTCATTCATGTGTGGAATGTTCCCTATATATTGTTAGTTGGACAACACTGCAGGTTCATACATGGGAGCCAAAGTCTCCAAATGTCAGGATCTAGATCCAAACCAAGGGTCTCTGCTGTGTCGGGCCATGGGTCTTCCAACTGAGCCACATGAAACTTTGAATCGCTCCCTGACCGATCTCTTGTGTAGTCTTCAGTGATACCCTTTTTTCTGCTGAACTCTGAAATCCTTTCTACTCCCCTGAACTTCCTACTTAAAGGGTAAGTTCACCTTTTCACAAGATGCCTAAAAGTTGACTTACTTACAGCTGCCTCCCCAACTCTCCTGGTACCCGCTGCACCTCCCCTGGTACCCGCTGCAACTCCCCCAGTCCCTGCTGTGATACCTCTGTCAGCAAATGTAGTGATCTGTACTCTGTACACTAGAACTGACAGCTTAGCAGTCTCATAATACTCATAATGCTCCCAAATAGTGAGCACTCATTGGTCAGCATGGTCACAACCAATAAGAAGGCCTTACTTCCGGGACCAGGTCCCCAGCTTTCTTATTGGTCATCGTAGTCCGTGATGTGACCATGCTGACCATTTGCTAGTATTATTATTATTATTCCAGACTGTGGCCCTGTCAATTCTAGTATATGGTGTATGGATCAGTACACTGGCTGGCAAGGGTATCACAGCGGGGACCAGGAGTGGTGTGGAGGTGGCTGTGAGTACGTTTTGTTTTTTCACATTTCGTGAAAAGGTGAACTTACCCTTTAAGCCATGCATCTGCACTCCCTGTTTGACACATTTTTGTGCCAGTATCTTGCTGTTGCTACTGCTACACTGCATCCTTTTTTATCCTGCTCTTGGCTGCCGATTCACCCACCACGCTTATCACTCGCCACTTTAAACATAATACCTTTGGCAAGTGACTTCGGCTTGATCACTGATGCTTCTGCCTGCTTCTATACTGCTTCCGCTTGCTTGTGTACTGAACCTGGCCTGGTAATGAGCAGGAACTTGCCTGCTGTTTCCGCTTTTCGACTCTGAGCCTGATCCTAGATCATGAAAGAATAATCTGGCCACAACATGGAGTCCACTGTTAAAGCTGCTATGGCCCCTTTCAGGCAGCAGAGTTGCAAAAGTTTGAACTTCAAAATGAGGTAAGCCAACAAGAGGAGATCCATGATCTGCAGAGACAACGACTGGATTCACGTTCCCAAGATGGCACCACTGTAGACTGCGTGGATGCCTCTACCACTTAAATTCAATGAACACAGCCACAATTTTAGAGGCTTCCTTAAACAACGTATATGCTTCCAGGTGCAACATGCCGCATTTATCTCTGAAAGAAAAAGGTACTGTTTATTATTATTCATTTCCTAGCTTGAGCCTCCCTCTATGTGGAGCAGGGTAGTGCAATCCTGGATCAGCTTGATGCTTTTGTAACAGCAATGAATCAACGTCTGTGCTATGGCTGAAGCTAAGTTGCACAGTTTGCAGCATGGCCAATTGCTTGATTATCACCCTTATGATTGTCCCATGGAGCTCCTGCCAGGGACAAAAATACCTTTTGGTCACATTTACTCTATCCAAGCCCGAAGTAAAAGTGCTTAGAGTTTCTGGATCAGAATTTGAAGAAGGGTTTCATCAGACACTAAACGTTTCCTTTAGGGGCAGCCCTGTTTCATGCTGAAAAGAAGGACTCTGCCTTGCGATCATGCATTGACTAGAGGGAAATAAATAAAATCACTATTAACAACCACTTTTCACCTCCTTTAATTCCTGAGCTGCTAGAAATACTCTGCTGCGCTAAGATATTCTCTCAATTAAATTTATGGGGTGCATAACCTCATCCGCATTCGTCAAGGAGACGAATGGAAAACTGCTTTCAGAACCAGCTATGGGCATGTCGAGCCTTTGGTCATGCCATTTGGCCTTTGCAAAGCCCGTGCAACATTTCAACATTTTATGAATGATTTGATGGAGGATCTTTTGGATCAGTTTGTTATTGCCTACTTGGATGATGTCCTTATTTATTCAGCTAATCTAAAGGAGCCTCACAAGCCTGTTTCCATCATCTGGAACGACTGAGGAAGAATCCGCGTACTATCAAATTGGAGAAAAGGTCAAACAGACAAACCCAGTTCAAGGGGCACACAGTTTCTCTAGATGGATTGAGCATTGACTTTAAAAAGATAAAAGCAGTTGTGGAGTGGCCTACCCTGGGAAACATTAAGGAAATTCAATGGTTTGTTGGATTTGCCATCTTTTACAGAAGATTTATAAGGGATTTCGCCAGTTACCCAGTTGACAAAGAAAGGGAAGCTTTTTCTGATTACCAGAGGCACAGGCAGGGTCGGATTTCCCACAAGGCCAACCAAGGCCCGGCCTTGGGGCAGCAGGGAGTAGAGGGGCAGCAGGGGTGTGGAATTCCTATCTCCCAATGCCCGGGGCATGCAGTTCCGGGTGACGGGCGTGTAGTTGTTTTCGACATTTAGCCCTGCTTTGTGCAAGCAGGGCTAAATGTACAGTGGGGAAGCCGCCACTTGTTGTGTACAATTGATCCTGGCAATGTCGCAGAGATCACTTGTATGCAGCCTGCAGGTGTGCCATTCTCCATGAGGTTTGTTTGGCGGGTAGGGGGGTGCATTGAGGAGTCTGGCCTTGGGGCAGCAGAGAGAGTAAAACCGGCTGTGGGCACCGGCTGCATTTAGCCAACTAAAGACGCTTTTCACTTCTGCACCAATATTGATACATCCAGATCCTGAACTGTCTTTTATTGTGGAAGTGGATGCTTCAGATTCTGCTGTGGGAACTATTCTTATTTAGCAAGTAGGAGATAAGATGCAGTTTAATCTTTTCTCTTATCTCTCTCATATAATGTCTTCTGCTGAAAATAAGTATTTCCTGAATGGAGACATCTGTTGGAAGGGGCCAATCATAACCTTCCAACAGATGTCTCAGTGATCAAACCAACCTTGACCGTACCATCCTACCTGAAAAATCTTCCTACTTAAAAATGTCTACAATAATGAGCCACTCCTCAACCACCCTCTCAAAGACATTAATTTCACCTTTAAGAATGGCTTTTGAACTCAATTCAATTGTTTCTATGTGCCCGAATCTGCTTGGCGGGTTCATGACTCTAAACTTGCAGGGCATTTTGGTGCCACAAAAACTAAAAATATCTTTTATCACGCTCCTTTTGGTGGCTTGGTTACAAAAAAGATGTAAAAAACCATGTTGCTTCATGTATGACGTGTGCACCTAATAACACCTCCCTTCCACTCTGGGTTTATTCCAACCACTCCAATTCCCATCATGACATTGAGGGTCAGTTTCTATGGATTTGGTGGTTGGTCTACCTTCCTCTAATGTCATGAACACTATCTTAGTAGTGATCGACAATCTCACTAAGATGGCTCATTTTACAAACTGCAGAGCTGATGGTCTGAGAAATATTTAGACTGCATGGAATGCCTGATAATGTAGTGTCTGACAGAGAAGTACAATTTACATGGAAACTATGGAAGAGCTTTTGCACATCTCTAGGCATCACAGTAATTTGTGTTTTTGCCCCTCATGCTCAATCTAACATGAAAGGTTTGACTGAGGGGATCAATCAAACCCTGAAACGGTGCCTTCGGTGTTTTGTCAGTTATCTTTAGAATGATTGGGTGGACTTTCTTCCAACAGCAGAATTTGCATATTACAATTCTAAGCACAGCTCCACTTCTCAAAGCCCATTTTACTTAAACAGCGGTTGTTATCCAATTTTTATTCCTAACCTTCCTATCTCCAATTCCTGCGGTAGCTAACAGATTAACTGTTAAGGTCTTGCTGTCTACCAAAAATCTAAAGATTCATGTTCCTTCTTTTAAGTTGATCTTTTAAAATGTAATTTTAAATGAATCTAGTCACATTCTGCTTAAAACTTCATGGCATTATGAAGATTTTTTTTTCCCACCACCCCCTCCACCTGCTGATGTATAAGGTAAAGAACAGATTGTGGTTAGGAACATTTTTGACTCCAGAACAAATTATAAGATCTGGTTCAATGGAAAAGATATGGACGATACTGTGCATGCTCCTATGCTGAAAGCAGAATTTCATCAGGGATTTTCTTACAAAACAGACCACATCCAGTGGCTGTCCTGGAAGGAAGGGGGTTCTGTTGGGATCCAGATCCAAACTCAGGTTTTCTGCTGTGTCTGGCAGTGGTTCTTCCTACTGAGCCACCTGAAACTCTGGAAAACTTTTTACTTAATCTCTTTCTCGATCTTCAGTGATACCCAGTTTTCTGCTATACTATGAACGTCTTGCTCCTCCCCTAAACTTCTTATTTAAAGGAGAACTATGGGGTAAGTGTTTTTCCCCATAGTTCTCCTAAGGGTCACGGGAGGACACAAACTAGCTTCCTCTCGTGACCCAAAGCTAAGTATACCGCGAGCTAGAGCTTGCGGTATACTGAGACCGCCGCCGCCAGGACGGATCCCTACATTACTGTTGAGATCCACCCATCTGCGTGATTGACAGCTGGCTCTGCCTATCAAGAGGCAGAGCCAGCTGTACCCGCCCCCATCCATTCCGCCAGACAGGGCTGGAGGATCGGAGGGGGGGAATCGCTGTAGGGACCCGTGAGTGACAGTCACGGCTCTCGGCAGGGACATGATCGAGAAGTGAGCGAGCGACTGTATGTGTTCGCTCACTTCCCGATCTATTGAGCCGACGTGTGACAAATTCACATGAGTGACATGAGGTTGAGTGAAAATCACTCACCTCATAGATCTCCTTTAGGCAATCTGTATTTCTTGTTTGGCAGACTTTTGTGCTTGTGCCAGTATCTTACTTCCTGTTGCTACTGCTACACTGCATGATTATTACCTCTGCTTGTGTACTGACCCTTGGCTGCTGATTCACCCACCGCATTTATCGCTCTCCTTTTTAAACCTGATACCTTTGGCTACTGAAAATGCTTCTGCCTTCTCCTATACTGCCACTGCCAGCTTGTGTACCAAACCCGGCCTGTTAATAACCATGAACAGATTGTGATGCCAAGCTGTAGCCAGTGACCACATCCCATTTTCAGTCTCATATTCTTGTACTTCATTTGTGAACTTCATCACTACATACCTGAGAAGGCAGTATAACCTCCCAAACCTGGCAGAGTCATAGTCTGTACATGAATAACAATAACATGTATGTATTTTTTTCAATTAAAAAGAAACTTTGCAGGCGCAAGATACACTTTTCAGGAAATGGAGCCTGACCTTCTGCACTCTTAAAACATTTCTTTACTTTGTGTTCTTCTTCTAATGTATATAGCTAGCCTGCCAGGAATGTGGGAACGTACCATCACTATTGGAAGTGCAGGGAAGACTTTCAGTGCCACAGGATGGAAGGTAACTTATTAGGTTTGAAAGAGAACCAGTCACAATTTGACATCTGTAATAATTTGAGCCTACATTCCTGAATTCTTATAACAGTGCAGCCTTATTGCTAATACATTACATGATTTTTGGTAGGGATGTGCTGATACCACTATTTCAGGACCAAGTACAAGTGCATCCCCTCATGTACTTGCCGATACTACTTACCGATACTTTTTTTTTTCTTTTTTTTTAAGGGACAGGTGACTTTAAATGATCCATAGTACATAACATGTAGTTGTACTATGGATCATGATTTAACCTATTCATGTTAGCAGGGGAGAATTGTAAATCTATTGCTGCAGTGGACTGGACGTGTGTAACATACATGTACTATGTACTACATATAGAGAACACTGCAGCAATAGATTTACAGCCAGCCCCGTCCCAGCTTCCCTCACTCACAGTTTCACTCTGATCCCTGTTGCCTCACGCGGTGCCTCTCGTAGTCGGCGCTGGGCAGGATCGCTGCATCGCGTCTCGGTGCTCAGCTTGTGGGAGGCACTCACAATTCTGCCCTGCTAACATGAATAGGTTAAATCATGATCCATAGTACATATACAGCACACACACCCAGTACACTGCAGTCTGCAGCAATAATAATTGTAAATCTATTGCTGCAGTGGACTGGACGTGTGTAACATACATGTACTATGTACTACATATAGAGTACACTGCAGCAATAGATTTACAATTATCCTCGGCTAACATGAATGGGTTAAATGATCCATAGTACATAACATGTACTTGTACTACGGATCATTTAACCTATTAGCAGAGGATAATTGTAAATCTATTGCTGGAGCGTATTGGGAATATGTACTGTATATATGTACTACATATAGAGTACACTGCAGTAATAGAGTTACAATTCTCCCTTGCTAACATGAATGGGTTAAATGATCCATAATACAACTACATGTTATGTACTATGGATCATTTAATCCATTCATATTAGCAGGGGATAATTGTAAATCTATTGTCTGCAGTGTACTCTCTATGTAGTACATATAGAGCACAGACTGCCGACAATAAATTTACAATTATTCTCTGCTAATATTAATATGTTCTCAATAGGGACCCCCCGTGCCCTCACTCACTGTTCGGTGATGGCCGGTGCCTCACTGGTGAGGTCGTAGTCAGCGCTGTGCGGGAGAGCAGCCGCGAGTCAGCGCTGGTCCGTTGGGAGGAGCTCCAGGAGGGGGTCCTAATTCCGGTGGGAGGAGCTCCATGTGGGGTCCCGTTCGCCTGCCAGCTAAATTAGGACCCCACTTGGAGCTCCTCCCACCGGACCAATTCCCGATACCGATGCTGGTACCGGTATCGGGACATCCCTAATTTTTGGGTTTTTTACTTGTATTCCCTCCCTGTCAAAGCATTAGGTTGTAAGACCCCCCACAGAGGCAGTCCTACCTCCTGCACGAGCATAGCAGACACTCAAAGAGCTCAAACTCAACTCAAAGGCTGCACTATTATAGCAACTTAAAAAATAGGGTAATCAGATATTTACAAATGTCTGTTAATTAACCACCTCAGGCTGGAGCAATTTTGTCATTTTTCACACAAGTTACAATCTAAATTTTTGGATAGAAAATGACTAAACATCCGCTACTCTCTGGGAAACAAAAAACAAAACCGAGCGCCTCCATAGTGTAAAAGGGTTATTTATTTGTACGTACAAATAAATAACCCTTTTACACTATGGAGGCGCTCTGTTTTGTTTTTTGTTTCCCAGATCGAGGGTCTTGTTGACCGGTGGGAGCAGCCTCTTTTGTGTATCTACTAACATCAAATTGGGCTTTTTCTTGCAACCGGCGGCGCCGGTATTTGTTGTTTTTTTATCCGCTACTCTCACCTGAGGAGCAGTGGACTACGAGCTTCACCTTGACGGGGTTAACACAATAGTACTAAGAGGTGCACTCTACCCTCTCGGAGTTTATGAGGTCACGACTGACACAAGCCACGACCGGCTGGTTCGCAGAATTTTTTCCGTATTATATACATACCAGATGCTGTTAGACGTTACACCTAAAATGTGTTGTTTGACGTTACCTATATGTTCATAGAAATGCCTGCCATCTCTTACGGTATCCAAAATATAAGACATGACATAACTGTGATCACTTGATGTAACCTGTATCATATGTTCCAATGCTCAGAATCACATGTATGTTCTGTCGGCATTATCCGTTAAATAAACTAATAAAAAAAATGACTAAACTCTGCTTCAGTAATCATAGAGCACACAGATGTTCCCTGGTCCACTCCCGCTCACCATCCTAACACCTTTTGTGGTGGTCCCGGGCCCACCAGAGTAGTGAGAGAGCCCGGAAACTCCAGCAGGGAGTGTAGTGAGGGGGCACCTTCACAGGCCGGTACAAGTGATCGGGTAGCTCTGCATATGAAAAATCTTCCATATTTTTGTTTTCATTGCACAATGTTAGCTGTTGGATAGTTGCGGGTTGGTTAGTCTGTTTCAATGTTGCTGGAATGCATGTGTTTGCTGTGTTTAGTACATTTATTTTAAGAACATTCTTTTGTCTTCTGGGGAGCGAATTGTGGTAGAAAAAGAAAACCATGTGGTTATCTCCCAGATCAATGTGATATAACTGTTTACATATTACATGTTTTATTACAGGTTGGCTGGGCTTTTGGGCCTGATCATCTTCTTAAACACCTCAGAACAGTCCATCAAAATTCTGTGTATCACTGTGCAACTGGAGCCCAGGTAAGAAAGCATGCTAGAGGCTCATTCTCTTTGTGTGGATCCCAAGCAGAGAAAGTGTCATATGATCTCACATGGGAGAAAGGTTTCCACTCTTCTGAATTACCCTGTTTATGGGTTATCAAACAGCTTGAAAAAACAAAATGTTTGCATGTACAGTACTTTGCATTGCCAAATGGACAATAGCAGTCTAGTATACTATTAAATTAAAAACATTACAGCTGTTACAAACTATGTAAGTATTCTTCATGACTAGTCATGGATCCTTATGTACCCACCAGGAGGCAGTAGCCCAGGGATTTCAGAAAGAGCTGGAAAGGCTAGGACAGCCTGACTGTTACTTTATACAACTCCGGAATGAGCTGCAGAAGAAACGTGACCGACTTTACCGTTGCCTTATAGAGGTGGGGATGAAACCTGTATTGTCCCAAGGCTCTTACTTTATGATTGCTGACATCTCCCGCTTCAGTAAGTCTGCCTGTACACTATATTTCATAATGTTGTGCTGTTAGGACTTAAGAGTAACTATACATATATATTGAGCATGGGGGAAGTTATACATGCACATTATAACCTTGCAAGGCATCTACATTATGAGATGTAGTTCATAAAAAGCAATCATCATGTAATCCATTTCTGTAAGAAATATGGTGGTCCTTCCAACAGAGAATTAAAAATCGCTGTCATTGTTGCTTTCAGTAGATGTAGGAATTGAAGCGCCACATCAATTAAATTAGTCCAGATACATCTTTATTGCACTAGGGTCAAAGAACAATTGAGCAGAATAACCAATGTGTTTTAGGAGTCTAAAACACGCAACCCTTCATCAGGGCCTAGTGAGAGGAATCGTGTATGTGGACTACAATCCCTGCAGCTTGAAATGTTGTATTAAAGGAGAACTATGAGGCGAGTGCTTTTCACTCACCTCATAGTTCTAGCCGACCTGTGACAATTAGACTTTCACAGGTCGGCTCAGTAGATCGGGAGGTGAGCGAACACATGCCGGTGTTCGCTCACTTCTCGATCCTGTCACGGCTCTCTGCCGTGACAGGGGAAGGGATGGATTCCCCGCTCCGATCCACCAGCGCTGACTGGCGTAACGGACAGGGGAGGGGGCTGGCACAGCTGGCTCTGCCTCTAGATAGGCAGAGCCAGGTGTCACTCACGCAGCTGGGCGGATCTCGACATCGATGTCGGGATCCGCTCTGGCTGCGGCGTCTCAGTATACCGTGAGCTGTAGCTCGCGGTATACTGAGCTTAGGGTGACGGGAGGACGCTAGTTTGTGTCCTCCCGTTACCCTAAGGAGAACTATGGGGAAAAGCCCTGACCCCATAGTTCTCCTTTAAGGTGTGATGGAAAGGCTTCAAGCTTGTCAGCAGCTGGTTTGACAGCCAAAGCAGCTGCTGACAAGCCTGAGAAACCAGCTGCTGTGGTGCTTCAATTCCCCAGTCTACTGTGTTCATTGGTAAGCCAAGGATGCTGTGGAGACCCTTAGGCTAGTGATAGCTGTCTATCCAGTTAGCCAGATTTCACATATTTTCACGTGTCCAGCGCTCTCTTTCCACTTCCAAATATTGTTGCTTTTAGGTCTGCTGCTGTCATGGCCTCCAATATTCCTCATAGGTGCACTTTGTTCCTTCTGTTCCTATTTTCTCTGTCTTCAAGCATAGAAGGAAATGGAGAACTTTTGGTGTAGCCCAATGGCCAACCAAAGGAGCTTGCATGACAGGCTAATTCTGGTGCTGCTAATGCAGTGAGGCAGTGGCTTAGCATTGTTGGCCTACAATGTTTTCAGCATTTAGAGCCCGTTGCCAAGAACTGCTATGCTAGATCGCCGGGAGTAATGTATTGGGCACAGTGTTTCTCAAAATGACAAATAGCCCCATGCACATTGGGAGTGCAGCTTTTAGGCTTCATTGGGCCTCAAAGGCAGATGTTTCAATCACAGCCAAATACACATAACTATGGGTATCAGATGTGTCCATACAGCCTCTCCTTCCTAAAGCGTGTCAAATCCCAAGAACAGAAATGTAATATGTGGTTGCATTCATTTCTTTTCAAACTTTTTTCCCTTTATTTTCACATGTCAATAATATATTTCCTGACCCAGATAGACAACGCGTACTTACTTTACTATGTCCACGAAAGAGTAGCATTGTCAGGAAGTGAGTTATGGCTACAGAACACCTTCTCTCCTCTTCTCCATAACATGGGGGGGTTGTTCTGTAGTCCACAGAGAAAACTGTAAATAATTCTTACTGATAACAGTGCAGTAGAGACAGAGAGCACAGGAAGTTGTCAGCTCACTGTAGTTCTAGCAGGATCTTTTACCCTTATTAAACAGATGTAACACAATGTCCAATGGTATATTTAACATAAGGAAGCAAATAAGAGAACCTTGCTAGGGCTTACATACATTTAATTTTTTTGCTGATGCTGAAATGTGATTGGAGGATGAGGACTATAGCACATGTTGGAAAGCTGCTGCAGATATGTCCATTACCATTTAAAATGTTGGTGGACACATAACTGTGCCCCTCTTTTTTTTGTAGAAAATTACAGAAACGCAGAGAAATGACATCATAATTATGTAGTTCCACTAGGAAGGACTTTGCATTATACGATGATTACACATAACACACTACCACCTTTACCTGTTAGAAGAAAAAAAAACACACTACCACCATAGTGACATAATTAGTGATTGCAGTATAATATGAGAATGGTTGTTGTACCTATGTCTGTATAAACAGCATGCTTACGGCACATTTTTTATTTGCACAGTTGACTATGAAAAATTGCCATGAATGGGAGTATTTAAGTGTGCTTAAGGATGTTCTTGAACAGATTTATTCTTTTCTATACAGAAGCCGAGGTTCCACCTCCCTCTGACAACACTGTCCCTTATGATAACTACTTTGTAAAGTGGATGATGAAAAATAAAGTAAGCATTCTGTAAACATTAGATTTGTACTGGTGCACTGCAGAAATTTCCGACCACTAATTAGTTTGTGATGGGCTTAAAGCAGCATAACTATCTTGAGTACAACCCTCAAACCTGCACCCACATGTTGGTACTGTCTAGATTCGTAACTAAGCTGCAGAACAGATACCATCTAATGTTTTATCTAGGGATGCACTGATACCGGTTTTTCGGTATCGACTACGAGTACTGATATTTATATTTTGGTACTCGCCGATGCCGAGTACCTATACCGGTACTTACGCTAGCATGGAGCCAGGTGCCCGGGCAATCGGGAAGCCAGGCGGAGTGACATTACCTGCTGCCCGGCTTCTTGATTGCCCAGAAAGCCGACTCCATGCTGTTTGGCCAGGTCGATGCTGATTGACCGGGAAGCCGGCTTCCCAGCCAATCGGCATCGAGCCAAGTGTTTGGCGGGCTCGATGCTTATTGGCTGGGAAGCTGGCTTCCCAGCCAACCAGCATCGAGCTTGGTGATTGGCCGGTAATGACTTGCCACCTGGCTTCCCGATTGGCCGAGAAGCCAGCTCTATGTTCTCTCGCGGCACTGTTGGTCAGGGGACATCTCCCTCTGATTGGCTCGATGCTGATTGGCCAGGAAGCCAGCTTCCCAGCTAATCAGCATGGAGCCGGCTTCCTGGCCAATCAGGAAACCGGGTGGTGGGTCATACTGGTATCTGTGCATCCCTAGTTCTATCAGTGGTTAGCTAACTGATAGATCCTTGGACCATGGACAAGGCAGTAGCACAGAATACAGCGCAACACACATTGCAGGGTTTCAGGGATTGTTAGTGTTGAGTACTTTAGTCTTGAAGCCGGGTAGTGGGTCATTACACGCTGCCCGGCATCTTGATTGGCCGGCTAGATGCTGATTGGGAAACAGGTTTCCAGGTCAATCAGTATCGAGCTGGCCAAACAGCATGGAGCCACCTTCCCGGACAATCAGGATGATGGGGGGGCGGGTAACGACTTGCCACCCGGCTTCCTGATTGGCTAGGAGGCCAGCTCTATGTTCCCTCGTGGCACTGCCGGTCAGAGGAAATCTCCCTCTAACTGGCTCGATGCTGATTGGCCCAGGAAACCATCTTCCCAGCTATTCAGCATGGAGCCGGCTTCCCGGCCAATCAGGAAACCGGGTGGTGGGTCATACTGGTATCTGTGCATCCCTAGTTCTATCAGTGGTTAGCTAACTGATAGATCCTTGGACCATGGACAAGGCAGTAGCACAGAATACAGCGCAACACACATTGCAGGGTTTCAGGGATTGTTAGTGTTGAGTTTAGTGTTAGGATTACAGGAAGGAATAGTGTGAAGATTTGTGTTAGAGTCACATGGAGTGTTAGTTTGAATATCAGTGTTGTGGTTACAAGGAGGTTTAGTGTGTAGATTAGTGTTAGGGTTACAGGGAGGGTTATTGTAAAGATTGGTGTTAGGGTAAGAGGGAGGGTTAGAGTTACAGAGAAGGTTATTGTGAAAAATGTAGTGCCAGTGTTACAGTGAAAGTTAACGTGACCGTTAGGGTTACAGGGAGAATTAGTGTTACAGTAAAGGATAGTGTGAGGATAAAAGGAAAGTAAGTGTTATAGTTGGGGTTAGATGAGGTTTAGGGTTACATAAAGGGTTAGTGTGAAGGTTATGGTTACAGGAAAGGCTAGTTTAAAGTGACATTAAACCCTCAGATTTTTTAACATAAACCAATACTGTAATGTGCGCCTTACTGTAATCCATGGTTGTTTCCCTTCTCTTTGCTGCTCTTCCTTTTTAAATCCTCATGTCTTCTCATGCTGGGGGAGAACTTCCCTTTTCAGCTTAGGGCCTCTTCCTGTAGTGCTGGCTCAGGTTTCAAGCCTATACAAACCTATACACAGACACCCATGTATCCATTCCTGAGACAAGGCAAACAGAAGTTCTGCAGAGCATGAGAACAGATACAGATTTAAAAGGAAGAGCAGCAAAGAGAAGGGAAACAACCATGGATTACAGTAAGGCGCACATTACAGTATTGGTTTATGTGAAAAAATCTGAGGGTTTAATGTCACTTTAAGGGTTTGGTTAATGTTAGGTTTGGAGTTACAGGGGGTGGTCAATGTTGGGGTTACTGGGAGGGTTAGTGATGGGGTTACAGGGAAAGCTAGTGTGATGGTTACACCTTGAAAAAAACATTCAGTAATCTTTATTCTCTATTTATTTTGCAGCAGCTAGCAGCAATCCCTGTATCTGCGTTTTACAGTGGTCCGCATAAGACACAGTTTGACAACTACATCAGGTTTTGCTTTGTTAAAGTAAGTATATATGAAAGGCTTTAGGACTGTGCATTTGGTGCTTTTGTTAGTTCATGCGAGTTGACATTATTATAGATTATATCAGCCAATCAGATTCCAGCTGTCATCTTTCTAGAGCAGGTTAGAAAATTAATGCTTTGAGTTCATTAGGCAACAGCATTACATTTCGCTTATTTGACGTTATCAAGTCAGTTGTCAGCTGTATGCTGTCTGTAACATACTAGTTCTTATAAACTCGCAAAACATTCACATTTGTCAGCAGTGTCCAAAGTTCTTTTGTATTAACTAAAGTAAAAGTTAGCTTACACTCGGCATACACCTTCAGTTTTCACATATTTGTTCTTTCCAATTATAATTAATGTGTAACTGTACTTTGCTACACTAAGCAACAGAATACAACTGAAAACAAGAGTCTCTGCAATCTCTAAGGAAATAGCCACCATACCTTTTGGCTTCGAGAGGCCACAAGGCCTTTTCCTAGCCAGTAACTGATTTGTGAAGCCTCAAAATGCTCCTGGTGCACTGGCATTTGACAGTTAAGTGACATGGGGTGGGATTCAGTTTGGCCAAAGGTTGAGGTTCTATGTAGGGATGCACCGATACTGATACTGATACTGGTATCAGTGCTGATACTGAGCATTTGGGCGAGTACTCGTACTCACCCAAATGCTCCAATACTTACCCCGATACCGCAACTTCCGGTCAGAGGGAGATTCCTTCTGACCGGCAGTGCCGCAAAGAAACGTGGAGCCGGCTTCCCGGCCAATCAGGAAGTCGGGCGGTGGGTCATGATCAACCTCCCGTGTTCCTAATTGGCTGGGAAGCCGGGTTCATGCTGCCTAGCGCCACTGCAAGGCAGCCTGGCTTTCTGACCAATCAGGTAGCAAGGCGGCACGTCAGGACCCATCTCCCGGCTTCCTGATTGTCTAGGAAGCCGGCTTCACGCTGCATAGCAACACTGCAAGGCAGCCTGGCTTCCTGACCAATCAGGAAGCCAGGCGGCAGGTCATGACCCACCACCTGGAAGCCAGCCTGCCTTGCAGTGTCGCGAGGGAGCGTGAAGCTGGTGTTCTTTCGATAAAACACCGGCTTCCCAGGTAATCAGGAAGCTGGGCGGCGGGTCATGACTCGCCGCCATGTTTCCTGATTAGCCGGGGCCATGGTACCTCAGGATGCCAGTATCGGCATTGATGAGTATTGAAACAAAAATATCGATACTGGATACCGAAAAAACGGTATTGGTGCATCCCTAGTCTTATGTATAGCCTAAGCCTAGGTTCCAAGGGGGGCTCCACAAAGGGACAGGGCCCTGTCAATTTTAAAGGGGATTTTGTCTTTTATACAAAGTGAGCCTGAACACATTAATGACTTTAGCTTTTGTGTTTAGGAGGACACTACTTTGGATGCTGCTGAGGAGATACTACGGAAATGGAGCAATGAGTTATCTGGACAAAAGAAACTGTAGTCAACGATGACTCTATTAAGCTGATGCAGCTTACAACTATAAGAAGACTGTCTCTGACTACTATCTGATTTCAGTACGGTAGTCCTGTACTGCACCTTGAATGAATGAATGAATAATGCTACTGTTAGGCCTGTAGTCCCTGGTGAAGACCATGTAAGTCAAATAAAGGATTGCGGACTCTTATCTTTATTTACTGACATATCTAAGTTATATTGGTTCTGTGACTGATTAGATTTGGCCAGCGTCCAACCTGTATTTATTCTGCCAGTATGGATGCCATATATGCCAGTAATTAAAGGAATGAGTCTGCAATTAAGTCATATACTGTAAATCAGGGGTTCTCAACCTGGGTAACCTCAGGACCCACATTTGTCCTTGGTCATTAAGTCGTGACCCAAGTCGCTCTGCAATGGAATGCACAGCATTGCGGTACCATGCATTCAGACGTGGGCAATCGAACTGTGGTTGGGAGGTGCGTTTCAGATGAATGGCAACGCAACACACCTCCCACATTAGAAAGCGTGGTAGGTCCACCTAGTCTCCCTACCTTACAAGAACTGGAGTGAATCCTCAGCCTGGGGTCCAGTTTGGGCTACTGTGACAGAGCTCCATCCATATGTGCACCCTGCAGAGGTGTCAGGAACCAGAATGCGATGTCACTCTGGTCCAGGCACCTCTACAAGACCCGTGAGGGAGCTGTAAGCAATGCATGTATGGATGGAGCTTCCTTGTGGCCTTAGCCCCATCCCATCACACCTGAAGCTGACACTTTGGCATATTTTTAATGGCTGCTTGGTGCGAGAATTGACAGTGTTGCACTAGGGGGAGGCTGATGAGCCTTTCACCTAGAAAATGGAAGGCATGTGGCTACCCACTGAACACGGGGTCGTGACCCAATTTTGGGTCACGACCCACCAGTTGAGAACCAAGGCTGTAAATGTTAAGTGGTATACATGGCTATGTAAGATTACATTATGATCTCCATCTTAAATGCGACTTTTTGACCTGGGGTAAAACCTGCCAAAACTGGCCTCTATATTCATAACAATTACAAAATACCTAGAGCGCCTTTCCATCTAATGAGTGGAATGGGTAGTTCACGTATGTGCAATAAAAAACAGTTCTGTCTCACTCTTCTGTTTGATGTTTGAACACTGAGTCTTAGGTTTGAGTCCAGTTAGGACACCACATGTATGTGTTCCTGTGCTTGTATGGGTTTTCTCCTACACTCTTTTGTAGGTAAAGTTGCATTTCAGTCAAAGCTGAAAATAAGTGTAACTATCATGAGAAAAGTTTGGGGGCTGCTATCATTGACCTTTACTTGTGAATATTATTTCCCTAGCTCTCATGCTAATGCTTTCGCTCCAATGCTTTCTGAGTCTGTAAATGTGAACACTGGACTTTTTACACTGATTTAGAGCAGTGGTCTCCAAACTGCGTCCCGTGGGCATGATGCACCCCTTTGCTTAAATTTAACTGGCCCTTGGGGCACTATTTCTTCCACAGTTCTTCCTCATAGTTCTCCATTAAAGGAGAACTATGAGGTGAGTGAAAATCACTCAGCCTCATAGTTCGAGCCGGCGTGTGACAATTAAACTGTCACACGTCGGCTTAATAGATCGGGAAGTGACAGACCGCATACCGTCGCTCGCTCACTTCTCCATCATGTCCCTGCAGAGAGCCGTTACTGTCACTCACGGCTCCCTGCAGGGATTCTCCCCGCTCCGATCCTCCAGCGCTGAGTGACGAAACGGACAGGGGAGGGGGCGGGTACAACTGGCTCTGTCTCTAGATAGGCAGAGCCAGCTGTCAATCACGCAGCTGGGTGGATATCTTTTGTTGGTTGGAAAAACAGGATTTGAGTCTTACCTGTAAAATCTCTTTCTTGTACAGCCCTGTAAAATCCCGCACATTCCCAGCCTGCCCCAAGCATTTTATAACAAGCATTACAAGAGTGAATCACAGAAAACAGAGGGGAGGGTCGTGTGTCCTGTAATTTACGGCAAAGTATAGATTTTACAGGTAAGACAAAAATCCTGTTTACTTGATCGTACATCACAGGACAGGACACAGGGAGTTAGTATTGGAACAGATGGGAAGAAAGAACGGTGTGAGAAAACACAGACAACCCCCAACAGGGCATAGGGATATTAAAGTCAGAAATCACTTACAATGGATGCTGCTCCTTGATGTTTAAACGTTTTAGTTTCCTGCAAAATCTGCTGATTCCCTGAGTGCTGACCCTGATATCCTGTTTTAGGGTGGCTCCTTTCCCTTGCAGGGTCCTATGGAGCCACCTATGTTTGTGCTAGTAAGCTGTGTGCATCTCCGAAAACACACAGGCACAGCAAGGTGAGTCCCTTCCCTGCTCCCTTCTCAGAACTAGTAGATGAACAGCCGCTGGAGACTGAGCTGTCCCTGGTGATCTTGAACTTAACAGGAAGTTCAGGGAAGTGGAGCTGAGAAAGTTGGAGTCAGCTGTTTGGAAAAATAATGACTGTAAGTACTTGGGCAAAAATGCAAAGAAATACTTTGCTGGACAATGTATTTTTTTGTTAAATCTGGATTCATTATAGAAAAAAAAAGGTTGAGCGTTTAATACTACTTTAACAGAAGGGACCTGCAATTCAGAGGGCCACCCGAAGAACCTTGCAGACCAAGCTGTCACCCGCCGAGGCCTGAACATCCTCTTCGTAAAACCAGTAAAAAAAGTAAACAGAGGACCTGGTGGCAGATTTGGGATAGCGCAGCCTGATGCTGAAAGGCCCAAGCAATATTAATGCTCCTGGCAGAGTGAACATTCAACGGAAAAGGGGGAACTTTACCCTTCACCTCATAGGCCTAAAGTGATAGTTCGCTGAATCCATCTAGTGATAGTGTAAGCTGGCTGTCCCATATGGGGATCCTAAAGAATGACAAAGAAGGAGTCAGTCTTGTGGATGGAAGCAGTAGGAGAGAGGTAAATATGAAGGGCCCAACCTACATCCAAACAGTGGATTTCCTAAGGGACGACCTTAGGAAGAAAGAAGGCCATAGGCCTCAGCACTACCGTTTCCTTCTGGATAACCAAAAATGGTTCTTCACACAAGTCAAGGCCCTCAATTCAGAAACATGCCTGGCAGAAGTGATAGAAATGAGGAAGTCAATCTAACAAGGGAGTAGAGCCAGAGGCATATTTCTGAGAGGTTTACAGAGCAGCTTCTGCAGTGCTGACAGGACTTGATTGAAGTCACACAGAGATACTGACAGGGCCAGATTTCCCGCAAGGCTCGGCTTCGGGGCAGCAGGGAGTAGAAGGCCAGCAGGGGTGTGGAATTCCTATCTCCTGATGCCTGGGCGGGTAGTTGTTTTCTACATTTAGTCCTGCTTTGGGCAAGCAGAGCTAAATGTAGAGCGGGTAAGCTGCCGCTTGTTTTCTACAAGTGATCTCGGCGACATTGTATGCAGCCTGCATGTCTGCCATTCTTCATGGGGGGGGTTTGCCAGGTAGGGGGGCGCATTAAGGAACCTGGCCTTGGGGCAGCAGAGAGGGTAAATACGGCCCTGGACGCAAGTGTGTACAGGAGGGGGAATGTGAGCGACCCGCTGCACAAAGGCTTTCACTAAAGTGCAAGAGGCAAGCAACCTGTGGAAAAGAATTGCCAAGCCTGAAATTTGGCCTTTGATAGTACTCAAGGCTAAACGTTGGTCCTTGCCAAACTGGAGAAAAGGTAAGATGCATCCCATGAAGTACTTCCAGGGATAACCCCCTTTAGTTTGCACCAAGTGAAATACGTATTCCAGGTGCAATGGTAGACCTTCTAGGAGGTTGACTTCCTACCTTTCAGTAGCATAGGACTAACGGCATGCAAAAGCCCTCTGTCCTTCAGGCAGTGGTGTATTTAGGTTTTGTGCTGCCCTAGGCAAGACTAGATTTGGGCGCCCCCCCCCATGGCTAGTCAGAGGAAAGTGAAAACGTTCCCCTAAAGGACAATTTAAACCTTGCGTTTTTTTGTATATCTACTGCTAGCAAGCGGTGTATATATAAATCAGCCGGCAAGCAGTAGATATATGCAAAAACATTACAAAGCAAAAGTAACAAAGGTTAAAACTTACCTGTGTCTCGGGCAGCCGCAAAGGATGATGAGGCGGGCGCATGCTCAGTAGAGATCTTCGGCCGGGAGAAGAGAGGCACAGTGTAAGTCAATGCACACGGACAGGGGACACGGCAGTCAGCGCTGGATCAGAGACCGACTCCGCCGCTGGAGGCACTCCTGCAAACTACTGGAAAGAAGAAGATGATCGGATCAAGAGACATCCATTAAGGTAAGTTCTCACACCAGCATGGGAGGGAGGGGATTTTTGACTTTGAGGTCACTTTAAGCTCCCCACACACATTACAATCTGACTGTACAATCTCCTCTAGATCTACCGGTACCAACTTCCATGTACAGGTCCAGCCTGGCATCTCCAGCAGCTGTCGGGGTACGTGGAGGAGATCTGGTGCATTCTGACCGGAGACCTATACCATCGGGTCAATAATTTAAAGTTCCGTTCTTGTGCATAAGTTGACATACAGAGTTTGTGTGTAAAGCATAGACATTTGTGTCGATCATCCTCCGAGAGGACGATTCACAACTCCTGTTCCCAGGCGGAGAAGAAGTACAGGGAATCTCCGCTGTGCGCGGTGAGTAAAGCTTGGTAAAGTAGCGAGACTGGGCGTTGGATTGGTAATCCAGAGGCACATAGGTCTTCAAAGAAAGTGAGAGGCCTGTAGAGAGCGCCCGATACAGACAATGCGTTCACAAAATGTCGGAGTTGGAAGTAGGGCAGCCATGAAGTTCGCAGAATCGGGTTTGGACCAGACAATGATGTTAGTGGCTGCAGGGTGGAGCCCGACAGGCACTGAAACACATAACAGGGTTCAGAAACCCTCCAGCACAGTGGCGGAGCTAAGGAACAAAGGGCCCTGGTGCAAGATTTTTTTTTGGGCCCCCCCCCCACAGCACAAAAAGGTGGGGACTCCATACCCCGCCGGAAACTCCGGGTTGGCAAGAATCAGTGTCATGGGGCCCTGAGGAGTGGATAGGTTATATCTAGACATCGTGGTGTTCCGCACCCGTAACACTAGGGGTGGGAAAAAGGGAAGATCCGAGCTCCGCGGACGGAGAGCAGACGGTAACCATGGAAGTGTGAATAACGGCACTGGGGAAAGGTCGCGTTCCAGGGTGAC